CTGTGTTAGGTGGCGACAGAGGAGGCTTGGTAGAGAACATGATGAACAAGAGGCAAGTTGGGAAAGAAGCTATGATACTACTGGATCGTCCCCCTCCTGAACCGCCGCCGTGGAGTGCATGAGAGTCTAGGGTTTGGAAGCAGCTTTTAAATTTTACTGTTTGCTTGCGATTTGTTTTTCATGGTTGGACTGTTTATTTTTTTGTTAGTTACTTTTATTGTTGTAAGACTCTTGCATTTGGATTAGCTAGCGGGAGGTATTGCTTTAACCATCTTTGGCTCAATTGCGCCCAATAATGGATCAACAAGTTATATTGCTTCTTTGGAGGTGGTTAAATTTGAGTCTGGTTCGAGGGTCGGCGGTTGTCAGTGGTCATTTTGTCTTGTTAACCCATATCTGAATGTTGTGATATCAATATAAGCCTCTTTCCATAAAAAAAAATCGACATTACCATTAGTGTTGGAGCCTATGTTTGTGACATTGTTTTCCGCCTTATCAACCAACTTTTTCACCAAACATATAATTTTTGATTTCGTGCGTTGCATTGTGTAATAACAAGAAAAAGTAAGGTTAGAGTTACTTTTCTGACTGTATTGGCTGAAGTTATTTTAGAATGTCATTTTAGCTATTTTTCATATAATTTTTTCTTTATTTTATTAATAAAAACTATTTTAAATATATATTTTTCATAAATCAGCAAAATCGGCCAATCAAATCACTTTAGCCAGAAACTTCATAAATTTCAGCAGCATGAGCCGATTCAACCAATTTCAGTGCCACCAAACGGGCTCCTAATCAACGAAACTCTCTCATAGTTAAATTAATTTCATTGCAAAGCTCTTTTTAATTCTAGCATCGTTGATATTAATTAATGTCATTAAGCATAAATAATTATCATTGATATCTAATTCATGCAAATATGACACACTTTGTTTAAAAAAATTCTAATTCTGTAAAAAAAAAAATCCGTCCCTGTAATGTACACTATTTTGTTTTTAGTCTAACTCTAATTCTGAAACCACTCTACTTAAAAAAAAAATGATTATCAGTTGCATAAATTTACTAGAAATATTTAAGTTTATCCTTTTATGATCATTTTGAGACTAATATGAGAGCTAAAATAATGTAAAATTTTTTTGGGAACAAAATAATGTAAAACTAAATATTCACATTTAAAAATATATATTAAAATCCTTCCAAAACATACAATTAAATACTTTTAGAATAACATGACAAAAAGTTAGAGAAAATCTAATAAGCAGGGTTATTTTGAGGTCAAATGGTGGTTGTTATCATTGGCGATGGACTAAAAAACGAGCATATATTGTAGGAATGGAAACAAAATTGCATAGATGTAAAACAAATGTAATATATTTGCAGGAACTAAAAACATATTTAAACCATGTCATTATTGTCACTGTTATCAATATTATTATTAATGAAACAATGATTACCATAACATTAATTAAATACAATATTTATTATACCTACATGAAATGATAAACATAATAAAAATACTAAATAATTGAATTTGTAATCATAATAATAATAAAAGTTATAACAATGACAACAATGACAACAACAAAAATACCACCACCCAATAAAAATATCAATCTCTTATCTTGTCTTACACAAATTTCCCACTTTTAGAAAAAGTAATACCAACACATCAAAAGCCTGCTTTTTTAGTGCGTATATAGTACAAAAACAATCGTTTTTCAGAAATATACACAATTGGTCACATTTAGTTTGTATAATATTTGATATTTATGATATTACACATTTATAATCAACATTTGTTGTTCTGTATATTTTTTATATTTATGTTTGTGCTTATGTTATCACTTAGTATGTGAGAGTTTGAGCGACATAATACAAGATTCTAGAATGACCCCAATCAATGATCATTCAAGACATTGATGATATACAATAGGGAAAAATAATATAAACATTCCAAACTTCGATGATGTGTGAAATAAGTATCTCAAACTTATATACTCCCGCCATCCCTATTTAATGCCCCCCACTTACCTTTTTTTTGGACGTCCCTTAGAAAAGTCCAATTTCCTTATTTAATAAAACAATGCAAAACAGTGTCGAACAGTGTCAAACAATGTTTTCTTAATATTGTGCAATTTGAGGTGCAAACAGTGTTTAAAATTTGAAGTGAAAACAATGTTTTCACACAATAATTGTGCTTTTTTACAAATATAAATTTATTGGGGTAATTGCATAATTTAAAATACTCTAAGATTTGTTAGGATTCAATTAACATTCTAAAACTTTATTTGTGCAGTGAAATACTATGTAAAAAATATTACATCCGCTAATATTTATTTTCAATTGCACCCTTACATATTTTTTTATTCTATATTATGCACTTAACATCATAAAATTATATTTGCAAAAAATATATATGATCATGATGTTAACGTAACTTTTTATATAAAGTTAGAGGTATATATATTACATGTTCAATTTTGGGGTGCTTGTGTCACACTTTTTCAAAATTTGGGATATTTAAATTATTGTTCCCTATACAATAAGATTAGTATTTGGAAGTATTATACCTTTAGAAAGTGTAGTTAATCTCATGACTATGACCATTGCCACACCTAAGTTTTTGATCTCACACAAAATCTGTCATGGTGAATGTAGTATTAACTTGAGCGAAAATTGTATCGCAATCAACAACCTAATCTACATAAAGAAACACTAACTTAACAAATGGAGTGTACTTGCACATTTACTTTTTCAACTAATGTATGAACAAATACAACAATCTCGTCTTGTTGTCCTACTAAGCATTCATTTATACTACATCTGTCCCCGCTAAGAACATCCTACTTTGACCTACACACATATTTAGGAAATAAATTAGACTTTATTGTAGAGTACCCTGTTTCGACACTGTTTTTCACTGTTTTGCACTGTTTGACACTGTTTTGATGTAGGATAACTATCCATTTATGGAAATGAGAAGATCATTTTGGGACGGCTAAAAAAGGAAAGCAGAAAGATCTTAGTGGGACGGAGGGAGCACATTTTTTTTTTCAGATTTTGCCACGTTTCGTCCCAATTGAATAGCATTATGAGCTTATCGGATATTACTGGCAAATCGGCAACGAGTATGTAAGGAAGTGCCAATTGGACTAATTTTTACGGGTTATGATGTTTTCTTTTGAACTGAAATGTGCTGGTCTGGTTTGGTCCAATTCGGTCTGGTCTGGTCTTGTCTAGTAAATGTCTGGTCTATGTGTAATTTATAACTATGGAAGTCTGGTCTGATCTGATCTGATCTGGTCTGCTTAAGTCCAAACCAAATCATATTAGACCAGATTCAAATAAATCAGTCATCGACAATTATAAAATACATATATATAGGATGTTTTTACTTGGACCGCTTTCAGTCCCAGACCAGCTTAGAGTTAAATAAATCACACCAGACTTCTGTGGTTATAAAATACACAGAGACCAGATACTTACCAGACCAGACCTAATCAAACCAGACTAGACCAACCAGACTTGAATAGACCAAACCAAACCAACAAATTACGATCCAAGTAAAAACATACTCCATACATATTAAACATTAACATTAACCATACTAAACAAACCGGACTAAGGCTGTGTCTGGCAAGTCATTTCAGCTCATAATGAGCTGAATTTTTTAAAATTTACTCAATAATCACAAGAGTAATCGTGTTTGGATGAAGGGTTGTTACCGTGCCTAGCGAGAGGTCTCGATTTTGAAACCCGCTAGGCACATAAGAGTTTGAAACTCAATGAATGAGTTTCAGCCCTTATTTCTCCAGGCTCCCCCAGCCCCCAGACCCTTCGGGAGTTAAAAAAAAGAAAAAAAAATAGAAGGGTTGTACAGAGCTAAAACTGAAAAAAGGGTCTGAATTAAAACGTTAGCAAAGCTAAGGTCTGCGTTCAGCCTATAAATAATCCATTTTTGTTCCTAAATTAATCCTTCTCATTTTTTACTGCACTTGTCACTTGTCACCCCTTCACCGCAAAACACCTCGTTCTTAATTGTTTTGCAATTATGTATGAGGGTATTGGTTTAGTATGCCAGGCCAACCCACTCATATTTTCAAAACAGTGATAAAAGTGAACAATGTAGAGCCTGTTTGGTAGCACGAAAATCGGCTGATTTGGCTGATTCTGCTGAAATTTATGAAGTTCTGGTCGAAGTGGCTGCATTGGTTGATTCTGCTGATTTAAGAATAAATTATTTTTAAAATATATTTTATTAATAAAATAAAGGAAAAATTATACTCCGTATGTAAAAATAGCTAAAATGGCCATCTACAGTTACTTCAGCCAATACAGCCAGAAAAGTAACTCCAACTTTACTTTTTCTGCTTATTACATAATTGAACGCGTAAAACAAAAGTTACGTGTTTGGTGAAAAATTTGGCTGATAAATCTAAAAAAAAAAATGTATCCAAACGGCCTCGCAATCTGATAAACTCATACTCGTACTACGTAATTATGTAACATAAAGATGATGACACTGTGGCGTTGTTTATTTGATACTCGGTATATATCAATATTTTGTTTTATTGAAAAATTAGATGCTAATTTCATATTATCTTGAAAAGTTTGAGCTCTTTAACCGGATTTAGGGAGTGTTTGCAACAGCTTCTGCTTAAAAAAAAAGCACTTTTGGAAATGAAATGAAAAAGTGATTAGTTGTAAAAGTTGATAGTGTTTGAGAAAAAAGTGATTTTGAAAAGTAAAAGTTGGTTGTGTTTGGTAAAATAAGTGCTTTTGGTGTATAAAAGGGGGAAAAGCACTTTTGACACGAAAGCCGAGAAAAGTAAAAAATTGGTAGTGTTTGGTAAATAAGTGCTTTTTTAAGCCAAAAGCTGAGAAGTGCTTTTTTTAAAGTTGTTGCAAACCAACCTTTATCTGATTCAGCTACCAATTGAGATTCAACACAATTCCACAAAATAATCTCTAAGACTATAACCCTTAAATCACACATTCGCCTCATTTCCAACGAGAATTAACCTATGCCCATCCCGATTACAACGACTCTTGTTTTGGGGGACTTTTTGTCAAAAATAGTGTTGTTTGGATGGCGACATGAATCCACAATGATGAGCTACATCCACAAAGCCGTCTCCGATTATCCCCGCTACTCTCTGCTCACCTCACTTCGCCCCCTTCTCCTCCCCAGCTCCTTCAAAACCTCACTCTTCTATAATCCTCCCACCCGCCCTCTCTGTCCCAAACCCCTTCGATCAATCCGCTCTTTTTCTGGAAAGCCCAACTCTTTCAAATTAACTACCACCATGGCCGCCCACTCTCCATCTCCTCTCCATCACGTCTCCCTCAGTGCCATCAGAAACGAGGACCGTGGCGGAGCTGCTTTTGATGATCCTTCCGCTCCATACGATGATCATGAAGGTTTTCGACTTTTCGCTCAAAGAAAACTACTTGTTCATTGATGGCTTTCCTATTTGTCATTAAAAAGTTTCTTGTTAGTTATGTGCATTCTACAGAACCATATTTTTAACAAAAAGTATTTGCATATACTGTTTAATGCCAGATGTGTAAGCTTTATATTGATAGTTATCAGTATATCAACAATCTAGTTCTGATTCATCTGAAGTGCTTCAGTTGTTCTATTGAATATCTATTATACAGCACTTGTATTTTCTCTAACAATGACTTTGCCTCTTACTTTAAATTAGCATCAGGCGCTGGGTATCGGCTTCCTCCACCAGAGATTCGAGATATTGTAGATGCTCCACCTGTTCCAGTACTATCATTCTCTCCTCAAAGGGATAAAATATTATTCCTTAAAAGAAGATCATTACCACCCTTGTCGGATTTAGCAAGGCCAGAGGAGAAACTTGCTGGTATCCGTATTGATGGAAAATGCAACTGCCGGAGTCGTATGTAAGTCTTGAGAAAGTTACTGCCTTTAAATTCAGCATACACAATACCTGTTATATCATTCTGTACGTAGTATGTTTTATTTTGAAGCAGAACTAAAGAATCTGGACATAATACACTGACTCAAAATGCGCATTTTCTAGGTCATTTTACACTGGCATAGGGATCCACCGGTTAATGGAGGATGGTACCCTTGGACCCGAAAAAGAGATTCACGGTCTTCCAGAAGGGGCTAAAATCAATTTTCTTACATGGTACTTTCATGAAGGCATTTTTTTGTCTTCGTGCATATGCTTTAATACAATAAAGTTACATTATACTACGTCGTAGTCAATCCTTTTCAAAGACAGGACTGAACATTTCTGCAGAAAAATCTCATCTTATTTTTATACTCCGCATAACTTATTTTTTATTTCATTGAAGGTCAAATAATGGTCGTTATTTAGCCTTCAGCGTTCGAGTTGATGAGGTACTTCATTCATGGGCTCATTGCAGTGTTACATATGGCGCCTCATTCCATTCTCCATCTATTTCTAGTTCGATAAATACATAATTTTGATGCATTTTGAACCCTTTTAGATCCTTGTTTATGGCTTTATCAGGCAACAGCCGCCTGGAATTATGTTGTCCGGTACTGACCTATGCATGACAATACATTTACTGTACAGATGAATTTTGGTTACTCTACCAAGCTTCACAGTTGCTTCTGCCTAATGCTTATCTGTCACCAGAAATTATCTTGATCTGTACTCACCTGTACATGGGAATCCATATATTTTATAAATCCTTGTCCTGGATTGGTATGATCTATAATCTGTTTTGCTCTTATAGGAGGCGAACAACAGTAGTAAGTTGAAGGTTTGGGTTGCTGATGTTGAAACAGGATCTGCTAGACCACTCTTCCAGTCTCCAAATGTGTACCTAAATGCTGTTTTTGACAAGTACTTGCCTTTTCTCCATTATCTATTAAAAGCATTGTGTAGTTCCAAATATTATATACTCCATACCTCCCCTAATTAGCTACATGTTTGCTTTTGGCACACTTATTAAGAAAATAAAACTGCGTGGTTGAGTTTTAATTATAAATGAAAGAAATAATATCAACCACACTCAATTCTTTTCTTGAAAGGAATGAACAGATAATTTAGAGATAGCTAAAAAGGAAATTGAACAGATAATTTGAGGATGGAGGGAGTAATATTATACAGGGATAAGGTTCATAGTTTCTTTTTGTTTCATGTGCAACAGTGCCATTACTAACTGCTGAGTTGGTTGCTTATGTTTATAGTTAATACTATATTTATCTAAAGCTAATATGAACAAGGGGTTTAATAATTTTTTTGCAAGCCGAATCCAAATTTCATCTTCTTTTGTGATGTGCTTATCATCCATTTTAAAGATCATTGCTGAGAGAAACCACGAAAGAGGCAGAGTTGTAGAGGCTTCAGAGTTTAGGCAGTTGACTCAAAATGAGCCTGGCCAAACTGCACTCTCATTGCAATAAATGAACTTCTATGTAAGGGAGAGTAGGACTGTAGGAGCTTCAAGACCCCTGGTATTGGATTTTGTCCAATGAAGCTGTAATTGTAAATAAATAGAAGACCGAAGATGGTGTTTTTTAAATCTTCTGAATAGCAGCAACCAATGATTGATTCTGTTGGCTTGATCTACCAATCTACCATGAATTTCTGAAGCAGTAATAAGAATTGTGAATCATATCCCATCGTCCTAGACCCTTGTACAAATTTCTTAAGATATTTGTAGATATGCTGTCCAACACAATGTTTTAGGACTTGCACTCCTTCATATAGAGTAGGCATTGTAATCCTCCATGATCAAGTCACACAAGTTCTCTTGCTCTCTTTAATCATGGCACTGCCCTTGGAGATTCCACTCACCACCACAAACTGCCATCACTGAATAGGAAAGTCATGTGTGTGAGATCCATTCTTTTACCAGATTTTGTTCTCACTGCTTTTACGTTTTCCTTTCAATGAGCTGGAGTAGCTGAGTAGCTGTCCCATTCACCATCTCAAGGGCCTTTAAGTCCCCTTCTACTTTGCCTAATTTGAGATTTCCGAAGCACACTTTCACACACCGGCACATTCCTCACTCTCAAGGTGACCTTAGTGAGGGATTTCTTACCCAACTGCAACGGTTGACCCACACCTCAACCTTTGACCAGCATAACATTTTTGACATTCACAATTTTCCTGCTTATTTCCATCATTTGCAATGGAGCCAAAGACTCACTATTTTTTGCCTTGAGATTATGATGGAATAAAGCAAAATGGGTCAATAAACTGTTTGCTCTTCTTTGTTATGAAGCAGTAACTAACACATAACTCATACTAATGCTGTGAAATCTCTTTCCGTGCTGGTCTAGCCATGAGCACGTCCACATCACTTGCATGCCTACGATATTACCTTATACTAAGAGGCATGACAATGGGTCGGGGCGAGTACTGCAAGACCCGGACCCGCCCCGTGACTTGGCGGGGCGGGTCCGCCCCGCCCCGTGACCTGCATGGGTCCAAACTTGTTGACCCATGACCCGCCCCATGCAGGGCGGGCCCGCCCCGCCGTAACCTAATTAGCTAGTATGTATTTTTATTTTTGGGAAGTTGTTACCAATTGAATCTACATAAAGTTTATCTCTAAATAATAATTAAAATTTAATATATTAAATCAAATTCATGATATGCTAAAAATTTCAATAATTAAGGAAAAATTACTCAGACTTGAATAGCTAATCTATTTAATTATATTAATAATTGAATATATGTATTAAAATGCTATATATAAAGATGACATTGATAATCCGTCGTTATACTGATACATTATAAGATCAAAGCATTTTATGATTTATTGTATATACACATATGTATGTTGAAGTATATGTGTAGTATAATTTTAAAAAAGTATGTATACTTATATATTGAGCGGGTCGGGTCGGGGCGGCATAGGTCAATACTAATACCCTGACCCGCCCCATTGTATAGGCGAGGTGGGGCGGACCCACCTCAAATGTCTCGGGCCAGGGCGGGTCATTGCGGATCGTTTTTTTTGACATCCCTATATACTAAACTATTGTGGAAAGTATATGATTATACCTAATGGTGACTATTGCATTTCATCATATGATTCTATGATGATATGTTTATTTATTTTGATACTTTGCTACTTTTCAGTTTTGTTTGGGTGAATGATGCAACTCTGCTGGTTTGTACTATCCCATTGTGTCGTGGGGATCCACCAATGAAGCCTTTGGTTCCATTTGGACCTAAGGTTCAATCTAATGAGCAGCAGAGTATTATTCAAGCTAGAACTTATCAGGATCTTCTCAAAGATGAATATGATGAGGATCTTTTTGAGTACTATGCCACCTCACAGCTGGTTTTGGCTTCCTTAGATGGGACGGTGAAGCCTGTTGGGCCACCAGCCATATATACATCAATGGACCCCTCTCCAGATGAGAGATTGGTTCTCATCACTTCAATTCATAGGCCATTTTCTTTTATTGTACCATGTGGAAGATTTCCTAAAAAGGTTGATATATGGACAACTGATGGGGCATTTGTTAGAGAGCTTTGTGATTTGCCCCTTGCCGAAGACATTCCTATTGCAATCAATAGCGTGCGAAAGGGGATGCGCTCAATTAACTGGAGAGCTGATAAGCCTTCAACACTCTACTGGTATGTATTAAGTTTTAGATGATGTGATTTTTATTTTTTATTTTTAGTTTAAAATATTAACTGAAGCGATACGTACTGATGTGAAGTAAAAATCAGTATTTGATACAAATAAATAAGGTATGTGAATCGAACAAATGGCACCCTCAAAGGAGTTAGGTCTAATGTAATCTTTGGAAATAATTGGTGTTGGCACTAAATGCACGTTGATGTTGTGAAATGATAAGGGTCGAGACACAAGATGGTGGTGATGCTAAGGTGGAAGCCTCTCCACGTGATATAATCTACTCGCAGACTGCTGAGCCACGTGAAAATGAACAGCCAACAATCTTGCATAAACTTGATCTTCGTTATGGGTACATATACTTCCTCCGTTCTTTTTTAGTTGCAACAGTCAACATTTCACACTTGCCAACGCACGTCTTTGACCGTAAATATATCTTAATCCCTATTAGTAAAAAAAATTAAAAAACAGATTTTGAAAATTTGTAATGAGATGAATTGGACAATATTTTTTTAAGAAAAAAATTTATAAAATAATAGCGTAAAACGTAGTCAAAGTAGAACATGTGAATATTGTAAAATTCAACATTTCAACATGTTGCGATTTAAAAAAACGGAGGATAGTATTAGTTTTCTCTTACCCAATTACCCATATTGATACAGTTTTGCCAGCTCAATTAGTTTATGGGTGTATATGCACACATCATTAAAGCTATGGTAATTTTTGCATTCAAGCGTCTATTCTTAGTAAAACACTTACTGAAACAACAGAGGCACCTTGTAAGACAATAAAGTACTGCAAACATGTATGCTACCATTGCCACCTCTTACTGTGAGCAGTGTATGGAATGTAAGTTCATATGCATCACCAGAAGTTGTACTAATGATGCCTTCCGCTATTAGATGATGCTCTAAATTTTGGCTAGTAACTTTATTAGAGGCTTGCATACCTGCAGTTTAGATGACCTGTATTTGAACGAAATTATAATGTTCTGCTAATTTAATCATTGGTCCTCATGTGAGTCCTTTTCCCTACCTGTGTAGAGGGGTTTCGTGGTGTGATGATTCACTTGCATTGGTCTATGAGTCATGGTACAAGACAAGGAGGGTTAGAACTTGGGTTTTATCTCCCGGATCCAAGGATGTAAAGCCACTAATACTGTTTGATCGGTCATCAGAAGATGTCTATTCTGATCCCGGTTCTCCCATGATGAGGAGAACACCTGCTGGGACTTATGTGATTGCAAAGATGAAGAAGGAAGACGAGGAAGGAACTTATGTTTTATTAAATGGAAAGGGTGCTACACCAGAAGGAAACATCCCATTTTTGGATCTATTTGACATGTAGGTTTGCTTCTTCTTAACTTGTGTCCTTTTAGTAGGATGACTTTACTGATACCAGCACTTTCAGAAATACAGGTAATAAGGAAAGGATATGGGAGAGTGACAAGGAAAAACACTATGAGAGTGTAGTTGCTTTGATGTCTGATCAGGCTGAAGGGGAGATGTCTGTTAATCAATTGAAAATTCTAACTTCCAAAGAATCCAAAACTGAGAACACTCAATATTACATTCTGAGCTGGCCTGAGAAAAAAGCACGCCAGATCACAGATTTCCCCCATCCATATCCCCAGTTGGCATCACTGCAAAAGGAGATGATCAGGTACCAAAGGAAGGATGGAGTTCAACTCACTGCAACCCTTTATCTTCCACCTGGTTATGATCCATCAAGGGATGGACCTCTTCCATGTCTTGTCTGGTCGTACCCTGGAGAATTTAAAAGCAAAGATGCTGCAAGTCAAGTTCGTGGTTCTCCTAACGAATTTGCTGGCATTGGGTCAACTTCTGCATTGCTTTGGTTATCAAGGAGGTATACTATGTTGGCCAATATTTAATATTCCGTCTGTCCCAATATGAAGTCCATCATAGCTCTAGGCTCACTTATTCAGAATAGTAGGTTAAATGGAGAGAGGAAAGGTAAAATATAATAACTAATTGATAGTTGATGTGATAAGAGAGAGAAAGCAGCTGATGTGATTGAGAGAAAAATGAAAGATATAAATATATAATATTGCTTCATGTTACCCATTCCAGGTTGTTTTGCTTGATCTGATTTACATTCTCTGGTTTGGCAGGTTTGCCATCTTATCTGGACCAACCATACCAATCATAGGGGAGGGTAATGAAGAGGCAAATGATAGGTGATGTGTTCTCTAAAAATGAATGATGAAAATGCATTTCTTCGAATCAATTAAAAACGAGTTTAGATATTATCTGTAAACAAAAAGCTTCACTCATTTAAAGAATAATGTTGTTTCCACAGTTACGTTGAACAACTTGTTGCGAGTGCAGAAGCTGCAGTAGAAGAAGTTGTTCGCCGTGGAGTAAGTTTTATTCTTCTCTTTTTAAGGTTGGTGGTGGAATTGTTAAAATGATTTAACGCTTTTGGTGCTTCTGTAATTCAGGTGGCTGATCCAAACAAAATTGCTGTTGGTGGTCATTCTTATGGGGCATTTATGACGGCAAACCTCCTTGCCCATGCACCACATCTATTCTGTTGTGGAATTGCACGTTCTGGAGCTTATAATAGAACACTAACACCTTTTGGATTTCAGGTAGTAACCTGGCATAAGATCACCAGTTGGCAGCAGATTACATTTTTTTCATATATACTTTATTATTGTTCACTCTTTAATTTACATATTTGTATACTACATGTCCGCACGGGCATGAATAGTCAGTTAATTTGTTTCCTTTAGGGCTTGTTTGGTTCAGGGATTTTGGAGGGGAGGGAGTGTTAGGAACCTAGGTAGTATGGGATACCAAAAGTCCCACACTGAGTAGAATGGGATGCTTGGTGTTGTTCTTAAGTGCCTGGTTCTCCCACCTTAACAGCTAGCTTTTGGGGTGTGGCTCTCCAAGGTGCTTAAGTTCCTAACAGGGAGGGGCAGGGTTTTTATTTAACATATTCCTACATTTAGATGGTTGGAAAGAAAGTGAAGGTGAGTATGTATAGAATACACTATTTAACTAAACATCTAGTTATTTCGAGTCTAAGACTAGCAATCCGAGGCATTTTAGTAAAACAAAAATCAATCCTTCCCTCCCATCCCATCTGAAGTTTCCTAACCAATCAAGCTGATATGAAGCGGGAAGAGCATGTGGCGGGACCGGGCTTGGGCCCACTTCCGTGGGCCGGTTCCGCGCTGTCTTTATAATTATTTATTATTATTTTAAGTTAATGTTATGTTTTGGTTTGGGCCTTTTATTAGTAGAGTACTTAGTAGAGTAGTATGGGCCTAATTAGGATTTTAATAATTTGGGCTTGATTAGGGTTGCTTGTAGAAGGCTATTTATACCCCTCGCCAGGGTTCATTCTTATTATCTTGGAATAAAAGTTGGTTTAGCCTTTTGGCTCTGGGCAACGGTATTTATTTATCGTTGATTATGTGGGCAACGGTTCACCCCGTTGATTTTATTTTTCTGTTCTTATCAATTGGTCCGACCTGCCAGATCCCCGTCCCGCCGGAATGACGAGATCTCAAAACGATCGCTTGAACGAGATGGAGGCCGAGCAAACCCTAATTAAACAGAAGCTTGATGTGCAGGGGCAGAAATTAGTGGAGCATGGCGCCCAACTGGCAGAGATTACGGCCTCGCTCGCTGCACTCGTGAAGGCCATGGTCCCATCGGAGAAGGAGCCCGTAGCGACCAGTGAGGCTGCATCTGCGCACGCCGCATCTGCGCACGCCGCATCTGCGCACGCCGCATCTGCGCACCAAAGCAACGACAGTCTGCGCATCTCTACAACGACCTTGCTGCCAGCGTTCAATGGAGAAGACCCGATTGGGTTGGTGGCTAGGGCTGAGCAACAGTTTGAAATTAATCAAACCCTACCTGAACGGAAAGTGACAGCAGCTATGGTAGCCATGGAAGGGGCTGCCTTGTACTGGTTGACCTGGTTGAAGGCACGGAAACCGGGCCTGACTTGGGAGGAATTCACAGATGCACTGGTGGCCCGTTTTGGTTCACGGTTCAAGGGCAACCGATTTGAACGGCTGTCCGAGGCCAAACAGTTGGGGACCATCGAAGAATATAATAACCTTTTTGTGGAGTTGGCCAGTCAGGTTCCTCGGTTGTCCGAGGATCATTACTTGGGCTATTACATGAGTGGGCTTCAGGAAGCAATCCGAAGCTCGCTGCGATTGCTTCGGCCGAACAACCTAGAGATGGCTATGAAATTAGCTCGCGAAGTGGAGCATAATCTGTCCGTCCAAAGTGGAGGAGGTGGCAGCCTGAATTATCATTCTTCAGGGGTACGTTCTAGCAGCCTTTTAATGGCAAACACAGGTTCCCCATTGACTGCCATTGGTGGCAGCTTACAGGGTTCGGAGGACAGCTTTGCGAAAGATAGTGGACAGTCTCCGGGGACGAAGTCAGGGCTGTCCGGGCAGCCTACGACACGCTCTCAGTTCACTCGACTTCCGCCGAAAGAGTGCTGAACTGTGGGCTAAGGGATTATGCTTTAGGTGCAAGAAACCATTTACACCAAGACATGATTGTCCCTTTAAGCAACTATGGGTAATGATAGCTGAGGAGGATGAAGAGTTGGACCTCAAGCATCATGAATTCAGTGAAATAACCGGCCAGGAAAGGGTTTCGGAAAGAGAAGAAGGATATTTTCCAGTCTATACTATGTCTGGAAATTTCAGTCCCCGATCCGCGAGTTTCCAACCTTGAGGACAAGGTTGTTTTGAAGGAGGATGGATTGATATGAAGCACGAAGAGCATGTGGCGGGACCAGGCTTGGGCCCACTTCCGTGGGCCGGTTACGGGCTGTCTTTATAATTATTTATTATTATTTTAAGTTAATGTTATGTTTTGGTTTGAGCCTTTTATTAGTAGAGTACTTAGTAGAGTAGTATGGGCCCAATTAGGATTTTAATAATTTGGGCTTGATTAGGGTTGCTTGTAGAAGGCTATTTATACCCCTCGCCAGGGTTCATTCTTATTATCTTGGAATAAAAGTTGGTTTAGCCTTTTGGCTCTGGGCAACGGTATTTATTTATCGTTGATTATCTCGGCAACGGTTCACCCCGTTGATTTTATTTTTCTGTTCTTATCACAAGCCCTTAGGGTTTATGTTTCTTTAGTACAGTTCAATATTATTTATATTTTGTTGCATCCCTTCAGAATGAGGACAGAACACTGTGGGAGGCAACTAGTACATATGTTGAGATGAGTCCATTCATGTCAGCTAATAAAATTAAGAAGCCTATCCTGCTTATCCATGGAGAGGAGGACAACAATTCAGGAACCTTGACAATGCAGTCAGACCGTTTCTTCAATGCCTTAAAAGGTCACGGGGCTCTTTGTCGGCTTGTAATTCTACCATTTGAGAGCCATGGTTATGCTGCAAGGGAGAGTATAATGCATGTTCTGTGGGAGACTGATAGGTGGCTGCAAAAACATTGTGTAGCAAATAATTCAAAAGTTGATGCAGACATCAATGCAACTGAGAACGACACAACCAAAGCAATACTAGATCCACAAAGCAAAGCTGTAAGTAGTGGAGGTAGAGGCATATCAGAACTGGCAACCTACAGCGACGACAGTTTTCATTCATTACGAAGGTCATCTATGTGGTAATGGTCCTGTCTTTGTCGACTCTATTAGTTTTGAAAATTATTATTTGATTTGAAACATTATTATTACTCCGTATAATAATAAATTTCATTGTTTTAATCACTTGTCGTGGACATAAATTGATTGTCGAGTCTACATAAATTGTCCAAATTAGGCTCTTTCAAAAGTCAAAACACATCACCTTCGTCATTATAAGCTGTGACTGCTCCTCGTTACTCTCTCCCCTGCTGCTCTCAAAGACATTTCATCTGTGAGTAGTATAGATGGAGGAATCATGAGCAACAATCATGACTTATAATGATATGATGAAAAAGAAGATTTTTGACTTTGAAAAGCGGATATTATAGACAATTTTCATTAGATTGGACGCTTATATGATGTAAAATGAGATAAATATCAGTGGAAGGGGGGAATTGAGTAAGTAATCAAACCTGAAGAGGTAACTAATTGATTACAGAAAATGTATAATAAGTATTATTATTATTATTATTATTATTATTATTATTATTATTATTATTATTATTATTATTATTATTATTATTATTATTATTATTATTATTATTATTATTATTATTATTATTATTATTATTATTATTATTATTATTATTATTATTATTATTATTATTATTATTATTATTATTATTATTATTATTATTATTATTATTATTATTATTATTATTATTATTATTATTATTATTATTATTATTATTATTATTATTATTATTATTATTATTATTATTATTATTATTATTATTATTATTATTATTATTATTATTATTATTATTATTATTATTATTATTATTATTATTATTATTATTATTATTATTATTATTATTATTATTATTATTATTATTATTATTATTATTATTATTATTATTATTATTATTATTATTATTATTATTATTATTATTATTATTATTATTATTATTATTATTATTATTATTATTATTATTATTATTATTATTATTATTATTATTATTATTATTATTATTATTATTATTATTATTATTATTATTATTATTATTATTATTATTATTATTATTATTATTATTATTATTATTATTATTATTATTATTATTATTATTATTATTATTATTATTATTATTATTATTATTATTATTATTATTATTATTATTATTATTATTATTATTATTATTATTATTATTATTATTATTATTATTATTATTATTATTATTATTATCTTGAATGGGTTTTAGACTTCACAATTGAGCTGGAGCTTGGAGGGTTGCACTTATGAGGAAGCGTAGATGCCAGCCAAGACTTATGGAAGTGTGGATTAATGCTCCGTGCAGCAGCCTGCTTGAGACAATCCCTTAGCATGGAATTCTTTAGCAACACAATTGCTTATAGGGAGGTAATGTATTATTAGTGTAACAGGTCTTAATTAATCATAAATGTCTTCTTCAGAGTGGTGCATTGCACTCCATTAAAGAGGTCAAGAGCACTGCGTAAATATTACAACAACAAATAAGGTTTCAGGATTGTTTACACTACTATTTGTGAATGCTTGGATATTATTATCCCAACTTACTTTTATCACACTGGCCATATACACAAGTATGCCAAGTGAGTTTCCTAATTTAGTACTCCCTTTGTTTTTTTATTATATTCGTTGTTTCTTTTTCTGTCTGCCCTTTAAGTATCTCATTTTTCCTCTTTAAGAAAATTATTATATGGTTGACATTGTTTTACTGTCTTCCACACAAGTTTTAAAAATGTAGAGATAAATTAGGGGCGGAAGTAGTAAAGTGGAAAAGTAGATTGTTATGAATACAATGACATTTAGGAGGGGGTGTACTGTATAAAAGTCTACAAAGTTTAAAAATTTAGGTGTATTGAATGTAGACTTTTAAAAGTCTACAAAGGTCAAAGCGGCAATATAAAAGTTTATCAGTATAAAGGTGGTGACAAGCTGTAATAGGCCATAGCAGTTTTGTTGGTATTTTCGGATGTGTATGAACTTGCTATAACCTATCCCGGAATTTGTAACGAAGCCCTGGAATGTGATTAGCTTGACAAAGTGTGAATTCTCAAACTACCTCCATCCCACTATGTTTGGTACAAGAGAAGATGTTGCGATTATTAAGAAGAGTGAGTTTATGCGGTTTATATTGAATTGATAAAGTAAGAATAAAATAGGTATGTCACAACAACTTGGCATGTGACACGTATGGGTCCGCCTTGCCCAGTTGCCCTAAGACATTTGGGGCGCGTCCGGCTCGTCTTGCAAATGGGACGGGTCCACCCCATCCCATGCACAAAATCGGGCGGGTTTGGGTATTAGTATTGACCCGTGCTCCTCCGCCCTGCTCAATATATAAATATACAATTTCTTAAAATTATACTGTGTACTACAAGTATACATGTGTGTGTGTGTGAGGCTGTGAGCGCTTGTGTATAATAAATCTTAAATTGATTGATCTTAGAATATACTCCCCTCGTCCCAATATAATCTCCCAAATAGCTTTGGAGAAGAGAGAAAGGAGAAAGAAATGTTGTGAATTACAAATTCTTTGTCAAAAAAGAATTTGACTATTTTGACATTATCGAAAAAGGAAAGTTGGAAGATTAATATGAGACAGAGAGAATACTACATATTACTACCTCCGTCCTATTTTATGTGTCCTAGTTTGACTTGACACGGTTTTTAATGGAGTGGTTGAAAAAGTAAAAGTTGTGGTTGATGTTTGAGTATAATAAATTGAAATGTAGTAGGCCACATATTTGTTTCCAAAAAGGGAAAGGATACACTTATTTTTAGACAACCCCAAAATGAAAGTAGGACAGGTAAAATGGGATGAAGGGAGTAATATTTATATTTAAATGTGATGAACAACTAAGCATCAATATCAGTTCTATTTTTGGCATTTTATATATTCATTTATTAATATAGACAGATTAACTACTCAAATCTAGATGGTTTTATCTTATTTTTTTGAGAATTCACTGTATTGTTGGTGTGTAGCATATAATGGGCACACAACTATTTTTTTTTTATTCAAAGAAGTAGGGTGTCGAACCACAGAGAAGCGGGAAATAAAATAATTAAGCACAAACTAAGGATTAAAGTTGGGAATGAGTTTCTTTTGATTTTTGGTTGCTTGCAAAAGTAATAAAATAAAAGTGATTGGTATGAGAGATTTTTAATAACACCAAGTTCAACAAATAGCAAGTAGGGGTAGAAATTGGTAACTAATTGTTCAATGTTTAATTGAGAGACATAATTGCTAATTTTATTCTTAGATAGATTGGGAGAAGTTGTAGATAAATATTTTAGGACTCAACACAAGTCATCTAAAATAAGTAACTAGTCAACATTTCCCAGTGATGGCCAAAACGAGACTAGTTGTTTAAGTGCAATGACAACTGTAATTATTAACTATACTATTTAACCAACCCCGTGGTGTAAATAATATAATTAAATAATTAAATTCTCCCGTAAAACTTCAATCCGGGACAAGGTAAAAGAAGTTTAATGGTGTGTTCAGAAAGTGTTCATTTGTGTATTTATCAAACAATATGTTTATGATTGAGTACTCATAATATATATCACAAACACAACATAATTAATTTTCTGGACACAACAATCTAAATAGAACAAACTTAACAATCAAATTCAATACAAATTAAAACATGATAAGAACAATTAATTAACCAATTTCTAGCCCCAAATTTATTTAGCTATACATGTTGGGAAGCTTAGAAATAGATGAATTCATGATTAAAGATTTAAAGAGATAAGGAAGATCAAACTTGTGATAGATGACAATCCTTGGAGCTTGGTGCTAATCTTGACTTAATCTTGATTGAGAAAGTGATTAATTGATGTTGAAGATTGGTTGATGATTTGGAGGTGAAGAATGAAGAGAGAGAAGAGGGAGGAAATGATTCTGGGAGGTGTAGAGAGAAGTTGGCTCGAGATTATCTGTGGAGGGAGATGGATTAGGCTATATAATGATAAGGTGATTAATCATTAATCTGCTGGAATTTACGGAACCGAAGAGTATATGTACAAGAAAACGCATCCAAGTACCAATAACGCGTAGCAGTGCAGCGGTGATGGAGAGCTGTTGTGACACGGAGGTTGCAGGTTCCATCCCGTGCTTTGACTTCTAATTTTCTTCTTTTCCTTGCTGCGATGGGAATTGGGATGCTATTAAAACAAGCTCTAGCTAAATTATCTCAACTTTGACACTCAGCGCGTCGGTTCAGCGTGCTTTCTTTCTACCCTGGGACCAGGGTTCGAATCCTGTCTCTATTTTTTCCTAGTTTTGCTTCCTTTCTTCAATGTACTCCATATTTGCTTTGAAGGAGATTCCACTTTTGTTGTCTTCCAACTTGAACTTTTATTTTCTTCTCTTCTTCACACTCAAATGTATCCAAATAGTATCAAATGTACCTGAAAATATAAAATACCCGTATAGAACTGCACTAATACAAACTAACATCAAATACTAAAAATATGTACAAAGATACAACTTTATTAACTAAAATTAACAACAAACTAAGCCTAAAATGTGTGTAAAATATAAGTATATCAATTGTACTATAATTATTTGAATATATACTTTATGTAGTATGTAAATTCAAGTTATAATGGTTTCACACAAATAGCAATGTATCCAAGGGATTAGGTAATGGTGTGGCTGACCTTACCACATCATGAGTCAATATCTAATGACTTGTGAGGGTCACGGGGCAAGGCAAGTCCACTTTGTAAAGTCATGGAGCGGGTCTAGGTCTTGCATTACTCACCCCGCTCTGTTCCATTTACATGCCCATTGGGAAATTAGGGAGTGACATGTTTATTAAGAAAAGTAAAACAGTCGAGTGACGTGGTTGATATTAAGTTGGTAAAACATGGATAAATAATGAATAAAGTATGAATATGATGCCTACATGGGTAGCTCTAGTTGGTCACTAGTGGTGGACCCGATACGGGCCACCCGGCCCGTGAACCGGACCGGCCCGCTACTGTGCGGGCCCGGGACCCGAGCCGGTGGGATAGCGGGGGGCGGGCACGGGTAGGGCAAATGGGGACCCGGCCGGGCCCCGTTCGGGCCCAATTCTTTTTTTTCATTATTTTTGGGTTTCCACTGGATTAGGCTGAGTGTTTTTTTTGGGGGGGGGGGGGGGGGGGGGTAGTTAGGAAAGCAAAAAAAAAAAACATTCGACCCGATCCGGCCCGGACCGGACCCGGTGGATACCTGGGCCGGTCCCGGGTCTACCCATTACAACTCAAAGGCCCGCTGGGCCTAAGCCCAGTCCGGGCCCGACCCGGCCCGGGTCCATACCTATTGGTCACAAGGGTGAAAATTTGAAACAATGATCTAAGTTCGAATCCGCCAATGGTAGAAGGGGTGCTACCTCTCAAAGTGAGGAGAGAACTCTGTGTGTATTGGGCACTGGTCTAGTATCTATGCTTACCATGACTAACAACCCTCATATGCCATGTCAGATTGGGGTGTGTGGGGTCAATGGGGTTGGGATTAGACCTTTTAGAATAATGAATACGGCATGGAAAACCTTAATGACATGAAAGAAAAGGAAGTGTGACAAAATTAGTCAGATACTGGGATTCTGTAAAGTAGAGGTAAATGCAAAAAAATTCTACATCACACTAATATATTCTCATGGATCTAGATTTCTTCCCATGGAATATATATATATATATATAATATATATATATAGACTTGGGATCAAATACAAAGTCATCCTAATTTACAAAATACAAATTCATCCTAGCCATCCATTTAATTGAGATTACCGTTCGGTGGTTGCTAATTGAAGACAACAATCTGACTTTCAATGTGGGTGTTTTAGTAATTTAGTCTATACTTAATAATGGGAAGAAGATCACGTCTTAGAGTTTCCATAACAATTTACTTTCCATTTATTACTTTCCTTCTATCTGTGATCAATATTCATGCTCTCATCTCTACGGTTCACATCATCGGCTTCCATATCTATGATTCTCTTCTCTTCATCCATCAATAAGCGATTACTCTAGAATATCAAAGCTTCTCTTCATCTCTATCTCCATCTTCATATCCTTCTCAAATTTAATAAAACCTGATTGCTATTCTTCTATTTGAATGCCATGGATTTGGGCATGCACAAGAACATTAGTTCTCAAATTCCATAGATTCCGGCATCGCCATGAAATCCGATGTGCATGCTGGATTTTTTCTTTGTTTTAGTTTTTTTTTATACTAATTCACCACTTTTATGCTTATGCGAATTTCTTGTGATTTTAGGATGAAAATTTTTTATCGTTTGAAAACCTTTCTCATATTTTACAAACTCTGACGCCCTAAATTTTGCATACATATCACTTGAGTGTACAATGCAGATGTCATAACTATAAGATGCATCAAATAGTCTTTTACTATGCATATGTTATCTTACCAAAATGCAGATATGAACTTCTAAAATGCACATGTCATAAGGATAAAACGTAACATATCAGCTATTAAAATGCAGATGTCAGTGACAAAATGTAGTATGAACTTCTAAAGTGCACATATCGGCTTACATACTAAAGTGCAATATAATAACTTTTAAAATGCACATCACTTGAGTGTACAATGCAGATGTCATAACTATAAGATGCATCA